ACAAGCTGTGGAAGCGAGAGCACGATACTCAGCTTCTGAAGAGGAACGTGATACAGTAGGCTGCTTCTTAGCATTCTAGTTGATCAAGGATGATCCGAGAAAGACATAGAAACTAGTCACTGAGTGCCTTGTGTCAATGCATCCCGCCCAATTAGAATCGCTAAAGGCTTGAAGAGCTAAAGAGGATCTAACAGGAAAAAAAAGACCATAAGCTAGACAACCTTTGATGTAGCGAAGAACTCGATGGGCTGCTTGAAGGTGCTAAGAGGTAGGCTTGTCTTAGTATTGGTTTAGTTGTTGGACAACAAAAGAGATGTTAGGACGAGTAGAAGTAAGGTAAAGTAAACGGCCAATCAGTCGACGATAGGAAGAAGCATCAGGCAGGTGTCACCATGAGATTGACTAAGCTTAGAGGAGCAATCCATCGGAGACTTGGCAGGTTTAGAATCCAAGAACCTTGCGTCAGATAAGATATCAAAAGCATATTTACGTTGACATAATGCAATACCAGCAGCTTTACGAGCGACTTTTAAATCAAAGAAAAATTTTAAATCGCCCAAGTCCTTTATCTTGAAAGCAGCATTCAAATACCTCTTTACATGATCAATTTCACCAAGATTATTGCCTGCCAAAATTATATTGTCAACATAGACCAGCAAGACAGTGATGGAAATTTCATGGTGCTTGATGAAAAGAGAATAATCAGAAGAGGACTGAACATAACCCAATGCGAGCAAGGTAGAGGCGAGTTTTGAGAACCATTGGCGGCTAGCTTGTTTAAGCCCATAAAGGGACTTTTGAAGCTTGCAAACCTTATGAGAATAAGAAGAATGGAAGCCAGGAGGCAACACCATGTAAACTTCTTCATAGAGGTCACCATGAAGAAAAGCATTGTTGACGTCGAGTTGCTTAAGGTGCCACTGATGTATGGCTGCTAAAGCGAGTAACAATCTGACAGTGGTGAGTTTAGCTACAGGAGAAAAAGTATCAAAGTAATTGATGCCTTCAGTTTGTGTGTATCCTTTGGCGACTAAACACGCTTTATAGCGCTCAATACTACTATCGGTCTTGTGTTTAACTCGATACACCCACTTACATCCAATGGGAGTTTTGCTAGCAAGAAGATCAACTAGAACCCAAGTTTTGATTTGCTCAAGTGCATTGATTTCAGTTTGCATTGCCTCTCGCCAGCATTGAAATTTTACAGCTTGTTGATAAGATTTTTGTTCAAAGGAAGCAGAGACAGCAAGTGTAAAATGTAAATGAGAAGGAGATAAGTTTGAATAAGAGAGAATAGAGGACAAAGGATGAGGAGTACTTGAGTGGAGATCACTAGTTACAGTTGTAGTGGCAGAATGGCAATGATAATCAGCCAAGTATGAAGAGATTTAGACACTCTTGTAGATTGACATGGTATAAGTGGTATAGAAGGTTGATTAACCAAAGGTAAAGAAGAATTAGATGATGGTGTAACCAGAGAAAAATCAGAGGCTGGTAAGGAAGATTCACGAACAAGAGGAACATAATCATTTTTTAAAGATGCAAAAGGGAAAATATGTTCATGGAAAACAACATTACGTGAAACAAATATCTCCCTAGAATTGATGTCCAAGAGAACAAAGCCTTTTGTACCAAATTTGAATACAAGGAAGATACACTTTCTGGCATGAGGATCAAATTTAGTGCGATGAACAGACAAAGTAGAGGCAAAACAGAGGGAACCAAATACCTTTAAGGTGGTATAATCAGGTGGACATTTGTTAGAATTTCAAAGGGAGATTTGTGCTCAATAAGAGGAGAAAGAAGCCTATTTATGAGATACACAGCATGTAAAGTGGTATAATTCCAAAACATCTTAGGAAGGTTAAATTGAAATAATAGTGATTGAGCTACGTTAATATATGTTGATGCTTACGCTCCACCACAGCGTTTTGCTGTGGTGTTTCGACACAAGATGTTTGGTGTATTGTTCCCTTAGATACATATAAACTTGGAAGATTACACTCAAGACCGTTGTCACTACGAAGGATTTTAATCTTAGTAGAGAATTGAGTTTCAATGAGTGTAAAAAAGGACTGTATAATAGGTCTCACTTTAGACTTGTGTTTGAATAGAAAAATCCATGTATATCTCGAATGATCATCAACAATTGCTATAAAATATCTATGGCCATGAACAGAGGGTGTAGAGAAAGGCCCTTAAATGTCATCATGTACAATATCAAAACAATTATTGGATTTTGTAACACTTACAGGAAAAGGCAAATGTTTTTGTTTGGCTATATGGCAAATAGTACACGTTGAGTTATCTAAAAACTTAAGATCAAAAATGTATTGTGCAAGGAGTTTAAGCTTGGAATCAGAAAGGTGACCAAGCCTATAGTGCCAGAGATCCAATTCTGCATTATAGGTAGTAGATGCTAAAATTTTCGAAGAAGGAAAATGAACTTTGACTACTGATTTTCTCATTAAGTAAAGACCATTCTCCACCTTAGCTGAACCAATCATCTTCCACAAATTCAAGTCCTGTATAATGCAACATGAATCTTTAAAAATTAGGTAGCATGGAAGAAGTGAGGTAAGTTTGGTCACAGAGATCAGATTAAAAGAAAATTCAGGGATAAAGAGAACATCTGTGAGAACTAAATTTTTGGTGAGATGGACAATGCCTGAGTATTGTGTTTTGACCTTGGTACCATTTGGTTAAGTGACAAAGATGGGTTTTATTTGTTTATAAGATGTGAAAAATAATAAAGAGTGGGTTATATGATCGGTGGCTCCTGTGTCCACAACCCATAGCTGTGAACTGGATGAACAATGCAAAGAAAAATGGTTACCTGCTGAAGAAGAAAAATTAGAAGCAAGAACAGGTTGAGCAGTAACTTAATTGGTAATGTGCAACGACTTATCAACACCAGAAGGCTGAATTAAGGCAAGTAATTGTTGATATTGCTCTTGAGTAAAAGAAACACCAAGTTCAAGAATCCTTTCTGCGTGGCAGTATTTTGATGAGATTCATCAGCTCCTTCAGTATCCTCTCCAAAAATGACATTATGAGCAGTAGAGTTTTGATTTCTTGGCTTATACCCAAGTGGATAACCATGATTTTTATAGCATGTCTCAATTGTATGTCTTGGTTTGCCACAAAATGTACAAAATCTATTATCCCCACTGTGCTGTGATTGATTTGATTTTTTGATTCGTTGCTTAAAGGAACTCTGCACTTCTTCTTGTGTAGTCTTGCTTATAAACACTTTGGATGCACCTGAGACCATTTGTCTCTCTTGCTGCACAACCAAAGAAAATACCTTGTTTATGGAAGGAAGCGGTTCCATGAGCATAATTTGGGATCTTACTGTGGCAAATTGATCACCCAAGCCCTCACATAATCATTGCTTTAATAAGTCATGATCTTAGTTAAAGCACCACAAGAACACAGATTTGTGCAAGAACAACAAGGAATTGGCCTAAGATTTAGTAACTCATCCGAGAGAATTTTAAGCTCAGTAAAGTAATATGTTACATTTCCATCTTCATGTTTGAAAGTATAGATCTCTTCTTGGAGATCTGAAATTCTAAAAATATTCCCTGTGAAAACTTTTCTTGAAGATCTTCCCAAACTTCATATGCTTTATCAATCCACAACACGCTACTAGTCATTAAAGGTGAGAGAATGATTAAGCCAAGAAATTACTATTGTATTGCATCTTTCCCAAGCTGAAAACATTGGATCAGTAGTCAAAGGTGCTCGTAGTGTTCCATCAACAAATTTCAGCTTGTTCTTGGAAAGTAAAGCCATTTTCATGGCGTGTGCCCAAGAATGATAGTTGGTGCCATTGAGAACAGGTGTAACCAAGACAATTGCAGGATTTTCATTTGGATGAAGATAATAATGGCTTGACGGATTCTGTATAGGATCTTAATTCGCCATTGGATTCACCATTGAAATCACAATAGAACAAAGAAGAAGAAGAAAAGGGAGCAGAAGCGCTCATATACCATGAGAAAAAATAGACCTTGGATAAATTCTTTTATTGAATTTATGAAGAAAAACAGAGAAGTTATGGTTTATATATTGAAATCCGTTAGACTCCAGCTCATCAATTTAACAAACTAAAACTAACTTGATGTACAACTAAAATAACAAACTTCAACCAATTAACTAACTAATACAGCTAAGATAACAAACTTCAACTAATTAACTAACTATTAACAGAAGATGTTTCAAGCTTATTATGCTCCAAGAGGTATACACACACTACTGGATCTTTCAAAACAATGTTTCTTGCCTTTTGGACTTATGGCTGAAACGTGTATGTAAGGATTAAGGAATAAGACTTTCACAAAAGAAAGAATTTGGCTGCTTTAAGGGAATCAATACCTCCCAATTTTTATTAATACTTAATTTCCTGCCTCTTTAATCGTTGGAGGGTTCTTATTTATACAATGACCCTGACGTTCATATTAAACTAAATACCTACAAGTTAGGAATAAAACCCTTTTGACTCAATCAAACAATTATCCAACAACGACTAAAAATAAAATTCAAAAGAAAAATCAGGCATTATCATAACTACAACAAGTTCATAACAGTAACTACAACAAGTTCATAACAATAAACCTGAAACCTATCCTCCCTAACCGTCATTAAATCAGAGGACTAAAATATTAGTTTTTGAAAACTTTGTCCTTGATTGTAATAGTTTGTGAAGATTGGTGACACACCCCAAGTGAAATAAAGTGATAAATACAAGCGTAGTTACATTTTAACCCCTATAATCTTGTTTTGTATTCTTATACGTTATGCCCCTCTTATTTTATGTTTACTACCACTATATTATAACAGTTTTCAAGAAACTTACAACAAAGAGTTAAAAGTGGCCTAATATCCAAATAAAATGATATTTAGGATTGGCCTTGGATTTCTTTCTCCATGGGTCAAATATCTGTCTGTTATTTCAGCCCAAAACCCATTAAATTTCTGGCACACCCCAAAAAACACGAAGGTCGTTTTTGTGTTTGTGTTGCTTTCTGATTCTCGCTTTTCTTGTGGTGGTAGTGGAAGATATGTGAAGTCTCTCTTTTACAATATTCTCTATCTTTTTGTTTTCAAGCCATCATATGATTGATATCTCAACCAACCCAGTTCACTCGTTTCTTTACCATCATCTTTATTCACTTATTCCCCATTCCACAGCGTCTCACTGTCACTCATAATTCAGAGACAGACACACAGTCATGGCTTCACCTGATAATCCCAATAACTGGATATTTGATTATGGTTTGTTAGAAGACATTCATGGCGAACTTCCCTCTCTTGACCCCCCTCAGGTTCTTTGGCATTCTTCTTCTTCTGCCTCCCCTGACCCTCCACTTCCTCTCAGGTAATGAAACAGTTAATGGTTTTTGTTCATCATTTTAACATATCAGTATTGTGTACTTAATTATTTTTAATATTAGTCTCTGTTTGGCATAGTTTATTTGAACATCTTGTTACCAGGATTATGAATTTGTTCTGTGGCTTAAGTAATGAACTTAAATCTTAATGTTTGTTTTCTTGTTTGTTCTAGTCGTTTCAGAGTTGAATAATATATGAAGCTCCATGTTCATATCATTATTTCAAACTTTTTGGATAGGTAAGAAAAATTAAGATGATTAAAGTTTTGACATTAGTAAAATTTAATTTTGGTTTATAAGTGAATAATTAATCTTCAAATGGGTTATGATGGCAGAGTAAAGAAAGTAGTAAATTTCTATAATTTATGTGACATTAGTTATATCCTTCTATTTTGGTTTTGTGTGAAATTCTTTCTTAGAATGAGTAGCTTAGCATAGTTTTTCCAGTTTAATAATATTGGTTGGCTGTGATTGTCTGTAGTTATGGTATATTTTCTTATGGTTTCCTTAGGATGTAGCTCTAGTACTTACTAGCAAGAAGGGGATGTGTTCTAAGCTCAACTATTGCCTGAGACGAAAAAGAAGCAAAGCATTTCTCAATTATTTTTTTCTTGAAGAGGAATTAAAATTTAAGATATTACTTCTGTGGCTTGATACTTTTCTGGACAATTCAATCAATAACTTGGTCTTTACCGTTTGGAGCTAGATCAACTAATAGTTTCCTAAAGACTTTTGTGTTTTGTTGTTTTCCAGTGTGGACTTTGATGATTCCTTTGCCAATTTGGATGCTCTTAAAGAAATTGGTTCCCGTAAAAGGTAGATGCCTATTCATTATCATCCTTCTAGACTCAAGGAAGTATTATTTTACTGCTTTTCCTGTGAAAGCTAAGTAGTCTTCAACACATTTTGTGTATAATTAAATCCTCTTTTCTGTCATAAATTTGATTGTCGTTCATTTTATCATTTTTAACCATATGCTATGTTAGAGTTTTTTTTTCATGTTTTTCTCACGTTCCAAAAGTTTTGTGCTATGATGGTATAACAGGGTGAGGTCTGGATCATGCAGTGCTTTTGGTACCAAAGCATGTAGAGAGAAGATGCGAAGAGATAGGCTAAATGATAGGCATGCTCTGATATTTTTAAATTTCCATTCTCTTTCTCTTTCTCCTGTGTGCTGACTTTGGTGTTATCTCAAGGTTCTTGGAACTTGGTTCTATTCTGGATCCTGGAAGACTGCCAAAAATGGACAAGGCTGTTTTATTGTCTGATGCTGTTCGAATGGTGATTCAATTGCGTGATGAAGCTCGGAAGCTGAAAGATACAAATGACAGTTTGCTGGAGAAGATCAATGAATTAAAGGTGACATTTCATTTAAAGTTCAGTTGCTATTGTCATATTATTGAGTGTTGTCATGACTGCGTCACTAGGTGATGGAATTCATCTTTGTAGGTGCCGTACTTGGAATTTAATTGTTTTAATCACATATATTGTGATTGGGTTGGACTAGTACTATAGGGCCAATTAACACGGGTTATGGAATTAAGGAATTTAACCATGTTTCTATATTTGAATGTTTTGTTTATAATCGTCAAAATTTATTTGGAAAATTTTGTGAGTTTTCATCCAATTTTTGTTGGTTATGTTGAATATGATGTTGTTTCTTAGGCTGAGAAGAATGAGCTTCGTGATGAGAAACAAAGGCTAAAGACTGAGAAAGAGAATCTTGATCGGCAAGTGAAAGCCTTGAGTTCTCAGCCAGGCTTCCTACCACACCCTCCTGCAATACCAGCTCCATTTTCTGCCCCAGGGCAAGTTGTTGGTGGCAAATTGGTGCCTTTTGTTGGCTATCCTGGAGTTTCTATGTGGCAGTTCATGCCACCTGCTGCTGTTGATACTTCACAAGATCATGTTCTCCGCCCACCAGTTGCTTAATAATCTGTCGGTTTATAATTGTTGGGTCTTCCTACTTCAACAGCAGGATACCTTTGTTCATAATGAATCTTGATATGGCTCTTGGCGGTGTTTTCTCATTTATTTTTGATGTTAGTTTGTCCAAGGCTGGGACTTGGAATTGTGAGAGTAAAATATGATCATATATGTTGGGGAATTCTGAACTCTCATTGAGTTCAGATAACAAATTTGGTAATTTTAATTTTCCAATTTTGACCTTTTAAATAGCATGACTTGTTACATTATTATTCAACAAATGATTTATCTTATCATATCCTGCAGCTTTTTACTTTTGCATGAATGGGAGCACATTTGAAAGTGTGAAGGTGGGCTCTCAGAATTGAATCAGATAGTTTTCTCTGGAAAAGGTTCCATCTTCCTACTTTGTCATGCCTTCATTATACAAGCAAAACTTCACATGGCAATCCATAAATTTATAAAGCCTAAAGTACAAAATTGTATCTAACAGGGTAGTTTGAACCCCATATATTTCCCAGATGTGTAATCACTCCAAACATCAAGAGCTCCAAAGCTGGTCATCAAAACTGCACTTAAAGCCATAACTATACTGACTGAAAATACGATCAACGAAGCCCTTCCAAATTTCTGTATAGCTCTCTGTACAACCAGCAATCCGAGAAGTGATCCAACAAAACAAATGATGGCAAAGATGAGGGCCGAGTCTGTGTGCTTCATGCCTAATAGCAAGTACTGGAATGCTGACATCGTAGATGAGAAGAAAACCATGAACGAACAAGTCGCCGCTGTTACCTAAGACAAAATATAATGATAGCTTAGACCGGATTCTGCATAAGAAGATGAATTTCATTGAAAAGCTGCAAGCATAAATTACCTCAGGCGGTATCCCAACATGAAGAAGAAGTGGGCTTATAAGCATACCACCTCCAATTCCAAAAAGTCCCCCCAAGATCCCGGCCAATAGTGCCATGAATGGGAAAATAAGCTTGTTTGACGGTCCACTGCTAGTTAAATCTTCTATGCCCTTCTCCTTCACAGATAAGTTAAAATTTTAGATAAGCTTTGCCTTGATGTAAGGTGATCAACAACAAACTTCCTAAGTTATCAGTTATAGCTAATTAAATTGACAACTTCTATTTAGAACCTGATGGTTTGGAACTTTATTTTGGCAGCATTCTTTTCTGCACAGGATCCATGCCGTAGAAACTATAGCAACTGGAATTTGGAGTGAGGAAATAATCCAGTATCCCACTCCACAAGGCTCCATTGTTATAATACCCTGCATGGATTTATGACAGTCACATGCAGTAATTGCTATGGATTAAGAACATGTTCCATACAACTTTTAGAATTCAAGTACAGATACTAAATTATACTCTCAAAAGATTTTTCATATTAGATTTTCATCTAAAAGGGTATGGATTTCTGATCAACAGCTATACTGTCCTAATGCTAAAATATGTTATAGAAAGTTCTGACATAACATTTTATATTGGATTTAATTTGTTGTCTTATAGTAAATGATTCTAATAATATAAAAGTAGGCCTAAGCTTGGCTAATCCCCTGTTTGGAAAGTCCAAATTGGAGTACCTTCCCATGCATATTCCTTTTATCATTTTGTGTTGGTGCAAAGAAACAGACACATGGATTGACTGCAGATTATGAACAATGTATCTCATACATCTGTTAAACTCATTCATGAAACAAATAGATTAAAGTTGAAATTCAGTGAAGAGTAGCAGACTAGACTTTGGAAAATAATTTTTCATGGCAAAGGTTGAAACCACTAAAGTAATAACACCTGTTTCCTTTTGGATATTCTAAAGCTGAGAATCCTAAGGATGAATTGGTCATGTGGGGTTAGAGAAAAACAAGATTCTCGTGCTAGGCCCTCTTATTTTCTCAATATAAAGTGCCTTAAATTAGCTTTAGGACACACTCATAAAAGGAGATGTGGATACAATGGGGCCATTAAGGAAGCTTGGCAAGATTCCAGGTAACGATTTTGTCATAATTCAAAGTGTTAACCAGAAAGAACATTAAATAACATAAGTTTCAGCCTTTTCAGGACTTGGTAAGTTTTGAAAAATTTTAACTGGGAAAGTTATATTAAATTGAAAAAAGAAATCATACCTGTCCATAACGATTGCCACGAAGAAGATAGAGAACAAAGAAAGAAAAACAAATCATAACCAGGACACCAAGTTTCATCCATGGAAACTTCAATTGGTGTTAATTTCTTCCTTTTCAACAAAGGTTCTTCGCTGGTTCCATCAAACTCTCATCCTTCAACGTCACGTATCGATTCACACTTTCCGATTCAGATTTCCAATGCACAATCCATTTCTCAGTCTTAAAAGTGACCAAGCAAGGAACACAGCAAACAAAATAGTAACCAGCCACTCTGGGAAACTCGATTGCTAATCACTCCAATACTCACTCAAGTAACATGCATGGCTCTGATAAAAGTGCTATATCATAATCAGTCAGAATCTTACCACCAAATTTGAACTTGTAGTTAACATAGTACATAACGTTGCAATTGAACCACCAGTGAACATAAAAGCTGAGAAACTAGTGGCAGTTTTAAGTTCTAAACAGCCACTACAGTTAATATTGGTATAAAAAAGCCCCCGCCACCAATCCCTCCTGCACTTGATATAGAAGAAGCTATGAAAAAAAAGTCCTGCAATCACAGTTGATGCTGTAACTTCAGTCGAAATCTTGATGTGACTCCATTGTTGAATTTTGTTCAGAAAGTGATTAACTTGAAGGGTATCTTCAGGTTGCGTTTCTTTGCATAGGATAGGCTTAATGTGACACAGATGCCAAGAAAAAGTGTGAGGCATGGAAAGAAATTGTCATTTTGGTTTTACAGGAACCATGGCTAAAAAAAACAAACATGGGATTGAGTTGTGGGTGGTGCTGTGAATCACAAGACAGGTTGTTTTACAGAAAAAAAACTTTTATTGATGGTGAAGGATGGCAGAAATTAATAGGTGAAAGAAGCAAAAGAAGGGACCATTAACTAAAGCTGTCCTTAGCGTAGAAGGATTGAAATAGCGATGTGCTTATATAAATCATCGATACGTTCCATTTGAATGAATTTGCGCTTGTTTAAAAGTAATTAATCAGTTAATGAACATCATGATAACAAAAGGACTCTTAATTATTAAATGCTTTGGATAGTGGAAAGTCTATTAGCATAATCTTATCCAAATTAGAAGAATTGTGTACGAATACAAATTTCTTTATTTCCTAGGATCGGTAAATGGTTTTTTGTTGGGAATTGGAACAGTTTTATCATTAAATTTTTTAAAGTTTAAGAGAGAATGTCTCTTAATTATAAAAGAGGCATTAAAATCTATTTACAATCATATAGTTTCAGAAAACCAGAATTATTTTTTCGTATGCCTTGAACATTAATACGTTTGAAAACATTTCTATATCTAGAGGCTTTCTGGTGATTAAGTGATATAAGGAATGCAATCCTTTCAAGTTTCATGGTTTATCTCTTATTTTTCTTGTAAGAATCATCTTGTTCAATTTCCTTGCTTTATTTTCCATGTACAAAAATGAAGAAGCTTCTTTCTAGTCCTTTATTTGAGGTGGGGTTGTGTCTTCTCATCTCTATTAAATAAAATCATGGCACAAATATATCATTTAAAAGAATGGGAGAACGTTATTTTCCCACCCAAGGTTTGGGGATGGACAATTTCTCTTTCTCACCCTCAAGTTTCAAAACGACACTTTCCCTCCCACTGCCGTTAACTTTAACTGAAGAAGGATAGAATGATAAATTCAAAAAACAGTAAAAGGGTAATTATGTCATTTTATATCTTCCATTTAACTTAGAAAAAAAAAAAAACCCCCCCTAAATTCAAACACTTTGCACCCCCCACCACCCCAAAATCCTCAACCCCCACCCCTACCAATGGCCGGAATCGCAGCCAACTTGGTGTGTTTCGACTGGAATCGCACTCGATAGGTGCTATTGGGCTGACCCCCACCAATTGGTCGAATCGCAACCAGCTTGGTGGGATTTGACACGGAATCACACCTGCTAGTGCGATTTCGGCCAAATCACATTCAGCCAATTCCAAACTCGGATCAGTGTTATATTGTTGTTATTAGGATAATGGGTGCTTTTGGTGTTAACCGGAGAGAGGATGAAGTGTTAATAGTGAGGAGAGACATCTCGCCAAACTTTGGGTTTGGAGACGGTGATCTACGAGTTGGCGGAGGAGAGAGAGTCTACGGTCGTAGGGAGACAACTGAAGGGAGTTGTTGTAGATGAAACTTGTGGTTGAGCAAAGACATTGCCAAAAGTGAAGCCGTCGTTGATCCGTGTTATGCAACGGAAACATAAACTCTAACGCAGCTATTGAATATAATAATAACAAGTAGTTAAGCATAAATAAATTGCCAAAATTAAATGCAAAAATAAAGAATACCAGGAATTAACGAGGTTGGTATTGAAAACCTACGTCCTCGGGCGCTGCAAAAAAACTCCACTATCTCCAAACAATATTACAAACTTTTTGGGCAATACAACAAATATACCAAAACAAAGGGGAGATACACAAAATTGCAAACTAAATGGTCTTTAAAGAAAAACCTAAACAAAAGAAGGATAATGGAATTACAACTTGGGATACAAATAACAATGATTTAGGTCCTTATATAGGCCCCAAAAGTTTCCCACTTTTCATTTCCAGCATGTGGGACAAACTAACATTTGACTATTACATATAAGTCCCTAAACCTTTTTCCATTATCACTTCTCACCCCATGTATTTGCTAAAGAGCCATTTTTCAACAAATCTCCACCTTGGCGAATTAGCAAACCTTCAAAGTTTTGTATTCTTCTATCAAATTTTGCAACACCTTCAAATGCCTAAAAGGCATCAAGCTCGCAAGATGTTGATCAAGTTCAAACAATAAATGAACTTGACCCTTGTCACTCTGAAGTCAAAATGTCTGTAGGATATCTTCTGTGCCAATCTTCTGGAGAATCATTTTCCCATTTTCAATATAATCCCACACAAAAACAAAACCAATATCTTTAGTACATAAAATATACAGTAGAAACCATTCACAACTTACAAATGTCTTCTAGGACATGCTATGCGGCTCACCATACTAACTGCTTGTGAAATATCAGGCCTTGTGTACCCATGGCCCATCATACATTGATCAAATCGCTTGTACCACTGTCTTGGTGACTACTTCAAACTATATAGCGATTTCTTCAATCTACAAACCCAATTTTTCTTTCCAGCAACCCTATAATCATCTGGCTGAGTCTTGTAGATTTCCTCTTCCAAACTACCATGTAAAAACAAGATTTTCACATCCAATTGAACTAGTTCAAAATCAAACTGTGCCACCAAGGTTAGCAAAATTATAATGGAAGAATACTTTACCACAAGAGAAAACACTTTATTGTAATCAAATCCTTCCATTTGAGCATATCCCTTTACTACCAACCTAACCTTGTGCCGAACATCTTCTCTATTAGGAAATCCCCTTCTTCTTTGCATACACCCATTTGCACCCAATCGCCTTCTTATGTAGGGATCGCATTTCATCATTCATGGTCAGTTTCCATGATTCACAATTTGAATTT